TGTTTGTTATTTAATAAAAACAGTGTAAAATGCTATCAAAAATGTCTAAATTTAATTATTTCAGTCCTAACCCGCCTCTTAAAAAATAATCCCTGCTCCCCCGTTAAAAATTTGCTCCTCCGATAACACGGAAGCACCCATTTGACAGAATTTTTCGGATATAAAAAGCATGCAAAATTATCGGAATTTCCGACGACAATGAAAATTTTTTTGACTTTTTGTTCAAAAATGTGTGAAAAAATGCCTAAAAACCTCAAATTTTTGACGTTTTTTAAAGTTTTTCTGATCTTTTTGGCATAAACAACAAAAAGAAGTGCCCCGCTAAAAATTCTGTAAATTTTTGGTCAAAACTGAATGAAAAACTGCTTGACAAAGACCAAATCGAGGTGCCGAAGTTTTAAAAAGTTTTTTGAAGTTTCTAATTTACCTAATTTGTTCGTTTCGCAGATTCGGAATAATTTAAGGGCCTTTTAATCAGCAACAAACAGTCAAACAACAAAAACGCGACAGGCAACTTTTCCAGCTGCGCGAATTCCAATGCCTGCCGGACGATGTGAACACGATCGGCGACGAGCGGGGCCTCTGTCAGAAAGCCGAGACGAGTGGGTTTTCGGGTAGCCGCCTGGCAGCCCCATCGACGTGGTCTTTTCTCCAATGTATTTCAAAAAACTGCTCTCGGGCTGCCGGTAAATGCGTATAATCTGAACAATTCAGTTTTGCAAAAAGACCTTTGTATGGGGAAAATCAATAATCAAATTTGGTCTTTGCCCAAAAAACTTAGCAAATGTAAGAAAAATTTGAGAATTTATTTTTTGGTAAAAAGAAAGGAAAAAAGTCGATTTTTGGGACAACCTGGATACACTTATCGCGTCACGCCAAATTTCAGCGTTGCTCGACATGCGGAATCACAAGGGAGGAATCTTTTCATACGGGAGCACCGAATCAAAACTGGCGGACGGCGACGGTCTTTACATTGCCGGCCAACCGCTCTTTATTAGGTAAGTGGGTCAGAACTCTCTCATTTTTCAGACTGTAAAGGATTGGCAAGAGAGGGGAAAAGCCCCGGAAACGGCTGAGTGCCATGGCGTGAATCAGTGGACGCCTGTAGCTCAGCGGAAGAGCACCTGTACGGAAAACAGGAGGTCGCGGGTTCGACTCCCGCCGTGCGCAACCCCGTTTTACCATTGCTCGAAAGTTTATTAGACTATCATTTTTCCGGTAATACTGTACGGTCTTATAAAAAATAAATATAAACCATTTACATTAATCGATTTTATAATCTTTGATGTTGATCGATTTTTCTTTATTTAATAACAAACTTACTTTACATTTTTGGGTGCTTCCAGGTTAACGGGGGCGGTTGCAATTTTTTTTGTTTAGCCTGTGCTTGCCTAGTGATTAATTGTAGTTTATTTTAATAACGTTTTTAGTAGTTTCCGATAACCAAAAATGTTAACAACTTTGGTAAGAGTCTAGTTTACCCCCCCAGCGGTAACTTTTCAGCCATGCGTCCTGTTAATGCGACGAGTATCTTAAAATGTTCGCCGTGGTCGAATTACTATAGCCAAGTTGTTTCCTTACATCACAAATTTTCGGAAAAATTGTCATAACAATTATAAGTCTGGGTTTTCTTTAGTTAATTTTTGCTGTTCCAAAGTGAGTTTTCATATCTCGGTTATCTTTTGACGAACAGAGCTGTCAATAGTACCAAAATGTAGCTCCTACTCTGGAGAACCAGCCTACAGTGCATTTGAGTCGAAAAAAAAGCGGAAATAAAAATATTTGAGTTTTAGGCTCCTGGTACATCGAAGCATAGCTGCTTAATCTTTTCAACTTTGAAAATCTTGTAAAAAAATTTCTAACAGTTATTGATGTAAGAAAACAACTTGGCTATAGTAATTCGACCACGGCCAACATCTTGATATATTCGGCGCATTAATAGGACGCATGGCTGAAAAGTTAGGGCTGCGCGGTAAACTAGACTTTAGCTAAAACTTTTATCCTTCAGTCAGAAAATCTAAATATAAATATGCCCCAAATCTACCATTAAACGCTTGTAAAGTGATTTAGACGCTCTATAATCAATAATATACCAGTGTTGAAAAGCCGCTTCGCGACTTTTCAACCCTGGCCATGTCTAACCTCATAATATTGTTCACTCTGCATAGGTCCTATGAATTTCGATGAGAAAAAGTGAAAAACTTCACTCTTTCTCTAATATATAGACTCCCGCCATTTCCGGTGAATGCTAATTATTTCTTAACGAAGAGGGATCTCCGATTTTTCAACAAAAAACTTGATTTTAATTTCGAAAATAGCACATTTTGCGCAATCTGATAAGCGTGCAGTCATCTTGAGGCAATTACGCACCTAATGACGTATCATATGTAGCTTTTGGCCCTTCCCCTCTTGAGATATCCTCCGGACAACCTGACGGAAGTTGCATGCAAATGCACACACACAGACACTATTTTTTTTATATCAATAATATATAACGGCGAATTAACCGTGACCCTCTGTGTACCGAGCGTTTCCAGTTGCCAGCTGCCCGGAACCACAGCCAGCGACCTGGTGCGCCCGGTGTTTTTCCGGGACGGCGTCAGAACGGAATACCTGGTAGGGGTTTCATGGGCTTCACCTGATTTTCATTGTTTAGGGTACCGACGGAAGGCCGCTCACCACCGTTCGGGTCAAGTTCGACCCCAACGAACTGATTCAGCTGTCGTTCAGCGCCTTGAGAGTGGTTGGTCGCTCTTCGGCACAGGACGGTTAGCGGGAGGAACTAATTTTACACCCAAATTTTAACGAAAAATACCATTCTGCGCAGTTTTTCGATATAAAGGGCATACCAAAAAAAGTTATTCTTTTTAATGTTTTTTCGCCTTATCGGGAGGGGAGCAATTTTCTTCTAATAGTTCCTAGGAACTATCAGTTTTAATATGTGCAGCGGAAGTGTTGATAAACCGTTTTTTACTACCTCTAAACTTAAAATGTTTACCAACAATACAATAGTTTACCAATATAAAAAAAATCGGTTTTTTGTCAAAAATGGCCGTTTTTCACCGAAATTTCGACCTTTTTGAAGCTTTTGATAGTGTTCTAGTTAAAACATACTGTTATTTTACTGAAAACCTTATGAAAAACTTTTTATTAATCTGCTAGGTATAGGTTTTCTGAATTAATACAAAAAATTTCTCCTCCTCCTCTTGTTCGATAACGCAAAGAACCTTATGGATTTTTCAGTCGCTTTCTGAAACGGCTTTGTAGTCTACCTTTTTTTTTACTTATAAAAGCGACGTTTCCCCTTCTGCAGCGTGACTCGACGTCGTTCACGTGCCGTTGGGAGACGTGGGTCGAGCTGGAAGATCCCGACGGGAAACGGCGCGTGCTCAAAACCTGGTCCGCACTCTCCAACCGCATCACCATCACTGTATACGGTAGGCGTCCGAGTAGCATTTGCCTACACGAGCCCATTTTTGGAGTTAATTGACTGGGATGTTGAGATCCCATACATTTCGCTCGCCGATTTCGATGATCTCCACACCTATGGATATCTACAGGGTGTCAAAAAAGCACCCCTCTCGAGCCATCCGGAGGAAGCTCGGATCGAGATGGTTCCTACACTATTCGAAAACCCTTGAAAAGACGAGAAAACAAGCGGGCCTTTGCATGAAAAATTTGACTTTCCGATAGCTCGGGTCCTTCGGACCCCGTTCCCCCCACCGACCACACACGCGTGTGCAATTTTGCAAGAATGAGGAGATTTGTATTTTTTCATATTACGCAAATTACTCCAAAAATCAATAAAACCGGCTTTAACTTTGTAGACTTGTATTTTAACGAAATTCTGAAAACACCATCGGAAAGAGGTGGGTCGATTCCTCCTAGTGACTAAGAATTAGCGCAGTTTATCCAGGGTAAGGCCCTTAAATCGGCCTCGAAAGTGACATCCACACACACACACAGAGATACACCCCAAAATTATATAAGGTAGGATGTTAAAATCGTCCGTGGTTGGGGCCCTATAGAACGATTTCAAAAATTTGTGACTAGATTTATCTACCAACCTGATATTTTATTCCTGAACGAACCAACTCCTTGTTTCAGAACCGACCGACTACTGCCGATTCGCGTCTCGACCGCCCCGGCATTACAGACGGTGCCCGCCTGGCAGGGACATCCGTCGGGACCCGAAAGCATGCATTGCGCGTTTGACGCAATCAGGGGACTACCAACTGACCGAAGACGATTGGCGTCGCTTCTTCCCGAACCGCTCAATCGAGATCGACAAATACCTCCCAAGCAGGGATGAAGAGAATTTCTGTCTCTGTAAGTGCCGTGAAGCATATAAATCATGGTTAGGGATTATTAATCCGAAGCCTAAGTCTAAGCCGAGGACTAAGCCTAAGCCTCAGTCTTAGCCTACCTCTGTGTCCACCCGGAGCTTGAGCCTAAGCCTAAACTTGCCCTAAGCCCAAGCTCAAGCTTCGCCTGAACCTGCGGCTAAGCCTAACAATGAGCCTAAGCCTAAGACTCTGCATAAGCCTACGCCTAAGCCTACCCCAAAGCTTAATTTAAGCCCGATCCTAAGCCCAAGCCTAAACGTCGGCCTAAGCCTAGGACTAAGCCTAGGCTTAAGCTTAAGCCGCAGCTTAAGCCTAAGCTTGATCAAGACCTATGCCAGCGTTTTTGTAAATCTAGTTGTTTCCAGATTGCGAACCCAACACTGTCCCCTGCCATGAGTTCGTCGAGGAGCCATGGCTGAAAGGTGATCTTGCGGATTTTTTTGCAAAATTCTGTCGTTTAGACAAGTTGAAGCTGATGGCCGAATCTACCCCCGTGCCCAACACACCCAAGGATGCCAATGGTAAAGCTGGTTTTTGCATCTTTCTGAATAATCGACTGTTATTGCAGGAAAATCCCTGTCGGATGAGGAGGCCGGAGGCCACGTCACCGGTCCGGAGCAACGCCACGAGGGTTGCTACGCGGCCTGGGAGTTTATGCAGCTGCCCACCACCGACCTCGACCAGCTGAGGCCGAGGATTTGCCGTCGAAGTAGGTGGTTTTGAAGCGGGAGAGAGTGAGAGATAGAGAGAGATAGCGAGTGTGAGTGAGGGAGCGAGAACTAGTGACAACTTCAGGACTCCAATCCCTTGGTCTACCCCACATTTCAGGGTGCCCCTCGCTGGGAGAGTTGACCTGCCACCGCATCCAGGGCTTTCCTGACGCCCCACCCGGATGTCGTTCCGCCGACGAATTCGCCTACGCCACCGGACGGGACCCGCTCATCAGCGACACCGACGTCCTCTGCGTTGCACTGGGTAAGTCGGGTTGATTGTCGGTATTAATTTCGAAAAGTCTTAAGTTTTACAGTCTTTTTACCAGGCTTAGCAGCAAACAGAATAAAATTGCGCAATTAAAATGAAATTTGGAGATGGTATTTCGAAGCAATAATTGTTCGATTTTTGTAATTTTTTTCAAGTAAGGGTTTTTGCGCTAATGGATTTCCAAGTTTTCACCGTTCAAAGCCATGATTTTTTAAGTAATGGATGTGTGAAGGGACGCTTGTAAAAATGCGCTTAGTTTTTTTGAAACGCAATTTACGTTTTTTTGCCATTTTTCCGAATACGAAGTTCTCACTTTTCGAAGTTTTTACCTTAAAATTAGCTTTTTCGAACGCTCGGTTATCGAAATAATTTCCCCGATTTCCAGGTGGCAACGCTTCTTCGGCGGTCTTTCCATTCAGGTAGAGGCTCTATTCCCAAATCCCGAACTTTCCATATTCCAGCCACGTCGTCGTGCTGATCCTCTTCCTCCTCTACACGCTCAACCCGATGGCCTAGACGAGCCAGAGCACCCACAGAATCGAGCGCAACATGCAGAGAATAAACATCAAAAATGGCATCTATTCAGGGATGGACACTGCTTTCGTTGTCATTTGTTGTCGCTGAATAAATTCGTTTGTGTGCTATATCGTGTACATATTTTAAATTTTATCTGTAGATTCTAAATTGTTGCCTGAAACTTGTGGCTACGAACATAATTTTAGGTGTTTTTTTAGGTTTGAACTATAAAAAAACGTTGAAAACCGGTCAATTTCGGTGGATTCAGTAATTGTAACTTAGACGAAAAGAACTGGGAATTTTTTATCCTTAAAAATTGCGGAAAATCAGAAAAATTACACACTAATAGTTTTTTGGAAACCGAGGAAAGTGAATTTAATCGGTGAAATTGATCGAGGAAAGGTGAAAGAGGGCACTTCGCGAAAACAAAAACCTTCCAGTTCCTCAAAACCAAATCCCAATGCTAATTTTGCAAAAGTGAACTCGGATATCTGCTCATTTTATCATCATAAAGTTTGCAGAACAGGTCTGTGTGTTTATCATCATCGTTCGGAGCCGCGGGCGGGGGTCGAACCCGGGCCCTGCGCGCAGCAGCCCCATGCCCGAGCCAATAGGCCACACTAGCAAGGGGAGGAAGGGGGCAGGGCGCCCTTTCCAGCCTCGCCCGACGGGTGGCGCCAGGATGTTTGTTAGTTGTAGGCACTATTTTAGGCTCATTGGAATTCCTCATAATTAAATTATGATTTGAACAGAATTGATAATGTTTATTCTTGAAAATTGCAAATAATGCTCCCTTCATCCAGTTTTTTTGGAAGCTATGGACATTCATAACTACCTGAAAAGCAAAATAAACATTTTATTTCCTGCTTCCTCCCGTTTTTTAAAATCTGAAAAGCCATGAAGTGCCTAAAAATCAAAACAAAAATTAAGTTGGAAAATTTGTCGTGTCGCCCGCTGAAAGCCATTGTTGAGTCTTTCGTTGAATCAGAGTATTGAATTCTTATGAAATTCGCGCTCGAGCATATTTGTTGATTCTATCCTTGATTTTGATTCTCATGAAATTATTTACATTTTTTTGGTTAGATTCATACGAACAATGGCGATGGTTAGATGCGCCAATTGTTCACGATTAGCGGAGGTTGCGAAAGTTTGTTGCGTCTTCGTGATGCGCCTTTAGAATTTTGGATTTTCCTTTTGCGAGGTGGAAAACGAACAAGCCAATAAATCACCGTTGCCTTCATCGACAAAAAATTGCAATCTTCTGGCGCTTTCTGTAATTTCGCAACCCCAAAACATTGCCGCCCAACTGATTGAGAGCATAAGTCATTTGTTGTGACTCTCGCTGAAGCGTCAAATGCTGAAGCGCCTATAAATTTGTGGCCATCTAGCCTGTTGAACATTTCGGAAAATGAAATTTCTTATTGTCCTCTGCGCTCTGGTCGCCGTCGCCTCGGCAGCCGCCGTATGCAAGGAGTGCAAGTGGCTTGCACAGGTTCGGACAAAATGCATATAATGTCGTTTGTTGTCGGAAATCGACCCGTGCTAATCTTGTTGTTTAGAAGGTAAAGAACGGAAACCCGAAAAGCCACGGCGAATGCACGAACGCTTTTAACGACGGGACAACCGAGGCGTGCAAAGATTGGTTTTGGAGCTTCCCCTGCATTCAGGCGCTCAAGGCGGTAAGCCATCATTGTTGAATTTTCACTTGCGCGGCCGTTTCGAGGGTGCACTTCTATAGGGAACAAGCTATGAATATCTCTCGCCCACTCACTCAGTCTCTCTCTCTCTCTCTCTCTCTCTCTCTCTCTATCTTTCTCTCCCTCTCTCTCCCTCTCTTTGTCTCTCTCTCCCTCTCTCTCCCTCTCTCTCTCGCTCTCTCTCTCTCTCTCTCTCTCTCTCTCTCTCTCTCTCTCGGTCTCTCTCCCTTTCTTTCTTTCTCCTTTCTTTAACCCTAGAAACTTAGGTTGACAACATCGTCTGCGAGGATCTGATGCGCAACAAGACGGCGCACGAGTCCTGCGAGGGCAACTTGTTCTGCTGAACTTGGCGACGCCTAAATAAAGCAATCGACGCAGATGTTCTTGTGTAATTTTAATAAACACCTGCTCATTTATATCTGCCACATTGCCATTTCGTGGCATGTCACAATGACGCGTCCGGGGTTTTTTGGCTAAGAAATAACTTAATATACCTTCCCACATTGACGCATCTGTCTGCGATCATCATACATATTGCCAATTGAAATTCAGACGCAGGCAGAAGGTATGTTATGTCGGGGTGGTGAATCGCCAAAACCACCCCGTGTGCCTGTGAAAATCGACTATTTCGAAGTTCTGTTCAATTTCTAAAAGAATCTAAAAAAATGAAACGCGTTTTTCTGTTCTTCGCCTTCATCGCCATCTCCCTGGCCGTCGTCTGCAAGGAGTGCAAAACGTTAGCACAGGTCTGGGTTAGCGAGACTCAAATTCTGAGCTAGATTTGCGTATGTAGCTAAAACGCACATTTTTAGATTGTTATCGATCAGCACCCGACTAATCAAAGTGAATGCCTGAAATTCTACAACGACGGCACAAAGAAGGCGTGCGAGAATTGGATCTGGAGCTATCCGTGTATAAAGGCGCTAGCGGCGGTAAGGTTTTGGATTAATCACGTTTTTGGATATTTTCAAAACACCAAAATTTGTTTGAAATATTAAAAACAACTTTACAATAGATTTTCTAGGTCGATACAGACGTCTGCGCCGATATCTTGAAGGGCAGCAGCGCCAACGACGCCTGCGAGGGACGCCCGTTTTGCTGAAAAAAATTCAGAAAACGATTTGATCCTGTCATCAGCCTTTTTATAACCCGCGAATAAAGTCAATATTGTTTCAAAACCCTAAAATACAAAAATTAGCCGGAATTAGTGATTTGATACTTTGAGTCAAAAACTGGAAATTCTGATGTCATTTTGTTGCGTTGCGCCTGATTCAGAAAACTCAACACCCCCCCTAAAACAGCAGCAAGATCATCTTGATACATTTTCAAAATGCCTATAAAATTCTTGCTGCTTCTCCTTGGAATTCTGTTCATCCAGACTGCAGCTCATTGCCGCGAGTGTAAGCAAATTGTCAAGGTTTGCATTTTTCGATCCCTTGAGTAAGCAAAATTTCATGCTTACCGGTGAATAACAGCCATAGACTGCTCCCTAATACATGCTTTCTCAGGATATAATTGCAAAGAACGCAACGACTAAAGCTGACTGCCTGCGAATCTTTAAACAGGGCATTCCGGAGGCATGTAACACCTGCTATTCATACGACGCACGCTGTCACCAGCGCTTTAGAGCGGTAGGTCAGCGATAACTAATAACTATTATATCAGAACAAACGAGGATAAATCACAGAATATGTACAGGGTGTGCTAAAAAACCCTCTGGCGGTCCGCAGTCACTTTCGATGTTTACGATTTCGGTGGCTATCAAAAGCTCCCGGCGAGCTGCGGAAATATGTAGTCTCGGATTCTCGAAATTCTCGAATTTTTAGCCCGATTTTTATCGTTTGTAGGCAGAAGTCACATTTTTCTCAAAAAAAACGTAATTGAATTGGCTTCAGCCCAATCCAAGCTGGGAGTTCTCAAATTGTTTTCAGAAAGACGTTCGCGGCATGCCAGAAAAGATGTAAGAAATTTGAACAATAGGCTTTACGCTAAAACTGCTTGGTTTGGGAAAAGGAAAAAGGAAATGTAAGAAAAATTTACGGATTTCGACAATTGGCGTGAACTCGTCAAGGGGCTTTCGATGGATACCCAAATCGTAAAAATCTTAATCTCTAAGGCTAAAAAGAGTTTTTAAAAAAGGGCTTTTGGTTTTCGCAAAAAGAGACGAATTCTCGTGGCAACAAAAAGTGCTAAATTCCTTTCAAACTCTTAAAAATGCCACAAAATTCGGGAACAACAAAAAGTTGCTGGCTATTTAAAACCTTAATAAACTCTGTACCATACCAGATCACAGGTCAGGTCCACAGATTAATTTCAAGATGCAAATAGATCATAATACAGAAATTATTTGCAAGCCGAAACCGCTAGAAACTAGATCTGTCCATTTTAATAAGGTGCCAGCAACTTTTGGTTGATCCCACATTTTGTGGCATTTTTAAGAGTTTGAAAGGAATTTAGCACTTTTGTTGCCACGAGAATTCTCTTTTTAGCCCAAAACCACTTTTTTTAAAAACTCTTTTTAGCCTTAGAGAGAATTTAGCCCTTTTTGCCTCAATCTTATTGTTAAGATCGTAAAATAAGCCAAGGAATACTCATTTAGATGAACCCTTGTACGTACAACTTCAAAAAAATTTGCGTGCGGCGCTTTGTGACGGCACTAGAAACCATGAGGATGCACGGGGGCCAATCGGCAAAAACCATGCTTCGGGTGGGGTTCGAACTCGGGAGGCATGCCTTCCCAGTACAGCGTGCTAACCACTAGGCCAACGGGGAGACTGGACGCCTGTCTTGGGGAAGCTAGACCCGCCCGCCCTGACCCGGGACTGGGGCCGCGAAAGGGGAGGGTGGCGCCCCGTATGGCGAAGGTTTAAAGTTATAATAACTTAGAGAAGAAGCATTCTTTCGATGCAATTTTTTCTTTACTTTTTCCGGCAAGGTCTAATGCATATTTCAACAAAATTTCAGCCCAAACGGACATCACTAACCCTTGTTTTGGCCGCAATTTAGCTTCTAAACTTAAAAATTAAATATAAATTTTTTAAAAAGCTATTTTGAAAAAACTCTTCTTGCGGTCCGAGATTATCATTAACCCAATAACTGTGAAAAATTTCAGCCCAAACGGACCATGGGAAGGCACTTTTTGACAGCTACATTGGTTTCCGTGCAGACAAACACACGCAGACCCCCCCCCCCTCGAAACGCAATTTAAATCGGCTGTTAAAATTCGAAATTTCACTCTTTTTCAATTTTTAAAAGCCGATGGTATGTAAAAAGTGTCGCCGGTTCCGATGATGTATTCAGTTTTGCGATCCGATGCTTGGTTCTCTTTTAAATCCGGAAAAGGACCCCAAAAGAGTCGTATGGGGGGTACCTCAAACCAAAAGGGGTTAGCGGGCTACGCCCGCTAACCCCGAATAATGACCGCGGCCAGATAGAGGGGGCTTTTTTGGACAAACTGTATGTAACCATGTAGAAAAGCATTTCTCTTCATGCGGCGGAGGATGTATGCGACTATGTCATGACCCAAAGGGACCCGGAAAACGCTTGCGACCTGCCATTTTGTTAAAAAAGTTCTGGAATGAATTCTTTGATAATCGCAGCTTTTCTACAATTGATGACTAGGTTACGGGGCATACCTTACAAATTAAAAAAGGAAAAAGGTACCCGGAATTCTCACCATTTCTCGAGCGCAAACCAGAAGTTTTTTTGGCTCACGTACCACGCCGCAAAGAGGCGAAGATAAGCACACAATGCTCCCAAAGCCGGGGGCACGCCGTTTCGAGATTTCGCCAGAAGTCATCATGGGCAATACGCAATTTTTTCTTAACCTCCACTTCAAATTTGCATGCGCAGTTTGAAAAAATGAAGCTCGAGTTTACGGAGGTCCGAAAATAATACTGACTTCAATCACCAGCCCTGCCTAACGCTGTGTCCACTCACACTGTGAGTTGAGGGGTTTTTAGCGCACTAGTCAACTGAAAATTGTTTGATTTCCTTTGAAAATATGGTATTAATCTTGACTCTTTTGGTTTTACAAAATTCTCATCAGGATCACCATTTTTGCTGATTGAAACATTTGCTTTCCCATCCAAAAACAATGTGGGCGTGAAAACTCAAAAATGTGATAAAAATCAGATACAGAGTCAAAATAAATTCCCAATATTCTTTCGTCATGAAAATATTACTAAGATAACTAGAAAAGCCGTGCCATCAATCCACCTGGATTTTTGACACTTTGGAAATCCGGACTTTCATCATCAATTTCCCAATCCAAGTCTATTTTTCGTAACTACCGATCGGGCTTAGGACAGTCAGCATTTCCGTGGCGTATTTCCCAATAATTACTCGGCGTTCTCGCCGATCTTTGTTTTACCAAGTTTTTCTCAATCTCAAGGCGAACGCATCTCTCTCTCCTCTCTCTCGATCTCTCTCTCTCTCTCTCTCTCTCTCTCTCTCTCTCCTGCCGCTACTCGAGCATCAAAACAGGGTCTCTCGTTTCCTGCCCTCTCTCACAATCTGTTCTCTGCGTCTCTGATTTTTCCTTACTCTCCCGCTTATCTCTGTCCCTCTTCGCTCTCACTCTCTTTTCTCTGCGTCTCTCCACTTTTCCGACTCTTTCACTTTCCCCTCCACCAGTAGAGAAGGGCAGGGAATCCCAAAAGTTCCCCTCGCCACCCCCATTTTTCTTTGCGGTTCTCCCTTCCTCCCACTCTCTCATCCCCTCTCGTAGTATATTCCCCCACTTTCGGCTAGTGCCGATTCTCGTCGACGTCGTCGTGGTTGTGTTTGTGGTTTGTGGCCCAGGACTCTGGGCGTTAGTCTGTGCAATCCCGTAGAGAGCAACCTGGCCCTACCAACCCCCGCCTCACAATGCCCGCTGCTGGCCGTTGTTGACCGAATGACCAGCGAGGAGGAGCCGCCGACGACGTCGATTCAGGCAGCTGCTAGCAGGAGGTTTGGGATTGCGTGACTGAGAATGATAGCTTGACGTCCAGTTTCGTCTTTGTCGTTTTAAAGTCCTGAAAAGCTCCAAAAGGTTGCTTTCCTAGATTTTGAGGAGGATTTCGAGCTGAGATGGTTATATTTTGCTTTTTGGTATCAGAAAGTCTGGGGTTTCATGATTTTGAAGCAGAGCCGTGATTACTGGCGTTGTCTTTGTCGTTTTTAAGCTCCAAAAGCTTGATTTGGACCTCTAAATCATTGCATTTAGGCAAGGTTTCGAGGTATTCATCATGATATTTTTCGTTGTCACTTCGTCGTTGCTTAAGTTAAATTTTAAGCTTTTTGGTTCTAAGTGAAAAGCTTCGAAGTTCTCTTAAAAGAAGGTTCTGATTCTCGCTTGCATAGGGGCACTTTTTAATGACTTATCATAGTTGTTATTTTTACTTTCTGAAAAGCCCCATAGGACCTAGGAAAATCGTCGTGCTTTGTAAGGTTGTGATAGGTTTCCGTCATTTGTCTTGGTACGCTTATGAGAATTCGTGGCCATAGATCAGGTTCAAAGCCGTTAGTCTGTTCTGCTCTACGAGACGATTAGTCATCCCAACCGGCTTGAGACGTTTTTTCTTATCGCCATCTCACTTTCTTTGCTTATTGCGGCCGGTCGAACGCTTTTTTGCGGTTTCTCCCCGAATTTCTGGGGCACTCAATTCCTTCTTCTCTAAAAAGATGAAATCTAAGTAATTTATTTTTGCTTATTAACACGGAACAATTTTTTTCATGACAGAATCGTCATAAAATAAAGATTTTCAGTGGCCGGGCCAAGGAGATGTTGCGCGCCGTCCCGAAATGGGCGATCGTCGTCGGGGTCGTCGTGGCCATCTGCGAGCTGGGATTTATCATCTGGAGGAATAAGGTTAGTTCATGGTTATGATCTTGTTAAATCTAAACAAAAATTTGTGAAAATCTTCTAATTTAACTTTTAGGCACTTTTTAGGCCTCACTAACTCAAAAAAGTGTTTTAGGAGCAAAGTACACGTGGAAAAGGGAAACAGTGACCCGTCAAACACGTGAAAAACATTTGTTTTCCTTGAGCTCTTAATGCGCTGATTTTGTAAGCAGATAAACATGTGCTGCTAGCGAAAAACAACCTTAATTCGTCTGAAAATACCAAAAAGGGGCTGCCTGTAAATAGTAAGTAACCCAATCAATCGTTTCCAGATCACCGGTCATGCGCACGCGATGGCCTCGCGGGTGCACACCCTCTTCAACCTCGAGCTGATCATGTGCGTCGGCTCGTACTACATCTACCAGCGCTACAAGGCGGCCATTGTGTGAGTTTTCATATAAAATTTCTCAAGGATATGACCAATGAGGCATTAATGAAATCTTTTAAGCCTTAGGTATCTGATTACGGCATGAAATTGAGTCATTTCGTAGTCACTTCTAAATAAAGTTCCATTGAATTATGCTAAATTAACGTAATTTCCTAGAAAACGATGAAATGTCATTTTTTTTGCAGATCCTACAACGAAGGCCACCACCGACCACTAAACCGGAGATGGACCCAAATCTGCCCGGCCGACGTGTTGAAGTAATCGAATTTTTTCCCATACTGAAAAAGTTATTCTTCCAGGGGCGCCTTGTTGATCTTCTTGGCCTGCGGACAGTCAGCTTTTGCGTTTTACATGGTACGTGACAAAGAGGAGAGAGGGAGAGAGAAACGAGTCCAAGCAGTTCAGGAAAATTCCTTAAAACTTTATTTTTCAGGTCCGAGGCCAAACCGAAGTGTCCACCGCCGCCCTGCTGTGCCTCATCTGCTTGGCCGGTTACCTGCACCTCTCCATTCTGCTCCTCTTCTCCGATCTCGTGCTCTTCATCTCCTACTTGTTTGCCAAGGTCACGGGCAAAATAGAGGAAGAGGGCGGAATGTCGAGGTACGTGACTGGCCCGTCTTTTCAAAAAATAAGTTTCCCCTTGAATTTGATGAATTTCAGCTTCTGCGAGAAGTACCGACTCTCACAAGTGCTGCTGGTGACCATTGTGGCCGTGTCGTTGATCAGCGTCGGGTTGTATCGTACTTTTACGCCGCCCTCGGTCGTTGACGAGACGTTCAAGACTACGGTGGGTAACTCTCTCTCTCTCTCTCTCTTCGCTCTCTCTCTCTCTCTCTCTCTCTCTCTCTCTCTCTCTCTCTCTCGAACTTGAACTCGAACTTGAACTTGAACCCGCCGTTAAACTTGCCCCTGTAAAAACTCAAAAAAAAAGTTATTTTCAGAAATTCAAGCCCGGCTCCGAACTCCAAATCGCCCTCCTCAGCGATTTGCATATCGGCCCAAGCGTCGGCCGAAAGCGAGTGCAAACCATCGTCGACGTGGTCAACAGCATTAATCCTGGTACGGAATAGCACAAAACGCAAAAAGATAGTAACCACAAAATCATAGCTTTAATTTAGCCAGAATTTTCTATTCCTAATTATATTTCAGATATCATCGCGATCAGCGGTGACCTGGCCGACGGCTACGTCAAAGATTTGGGCGAGGCGGCCAAGCCATTGTGCGAGCTTCGGTCAAAATATGGCGTGTACTTTGCGACTGGTAAGTTGGTGAAGCAGACTTCCAATGTTCAAAGGATTTCAAGATGCTGGCGGTCCAAGATTGCGAGAACTGCCACTAGCCCAATGATATCTATTAAATAGGTTTTAAAAATCAAATTTTAATATTTTAGATCGATAAAACAAGCTATTCATAGTTCCCTGAGCAAAAAGCAAAAAGTAAGCCCAATGCGGGGCTCGAACCCGCGACAACCAGATTAAGAGTCTGGTGCTCTACCGACTGAGCTAACCGGGCGGCGAGGGAGAAGAGCGCTGGGGCCCAGATAAGGGGGTGGGCGGAGCCTCCAGCAGCCCAGGTGCCGGTGTCAATCCAACAATAGTGGTTCGGAGTGCCTTTTTGGCAAATGCTAGGGAAAACAGGATTATGATACTTTTTAAAGCACACAATAATCTCCAAGCAGCGTGTATAAAAATTAGGAGAAGACGAGAAAACAAACAATAGAAAAATATACTGAAAAATTTAGGAAATAATTATTAAAATCTAATAGGAATGTAATGAAAATAAGTGAATTTTTAGGAAACCACGAGTACTACCACGGAAACGTCGAGGAATGGTTCACATTCTTGCGCGGCTGCAACATCACGGTGCTGCACAACGAGAACTTCCGGTTGACGACTGGGAAAGGCGAATCGGTGTGCATGGCCGGCATCGATGATTTGATCACGCTGAAGCTACAGTAAGCGTTTTTTCGATTTTTATATGCTTTAAACACCGCTTTCTTAACTTTCGCGAGCCCTAACCTTAAGAAAAATGGGTGCTTCCTGGTTATCGGGGGTCGGTTATTTTAGCGGGGGTCGGTTGGCATCTTCTTTTCGTTTAGCCTATACCTGCCTAGTGATAAATTGTAGTTTATTTTAATACTGTTTTTAGTAGCTTCCGATAATCAAAAATTATAAAAATATTTATCCTATAGTCACGAAATCTAGGGTTATAGCGCGGTTTTAGCCATTTTCATATACGTTAGACCGAAAAAGAAATTTTTTTTTCAACATGTTTTATGACGTTTTTCTTAATGTCTCCTCCCCCGCTAACAGTCCAGAACCATTTCAAACGGCACACAAGTCTATAAAAACGGCCAGTTTTTAGTTAGCCGAGCCGCACGATATTATAGAAAAAAAGTTCGCAACCGACCCCCGCTAAAATAACCGACCCCTGATAACCAGGAAGCACCGAAAAATGCTGCAAGGTCGAAAATTGAAGCTTTAACAGCCTTACCAAGCCAGGATATAATTTCTCTCACTTTTAGCAAATCCATAAAAAGATCCCTCCAATGGCCCTTTAAAACCGAATTTTCAGCATGCACGGCCATCAGATGAACCCCCGAAAGGCGTTGGCGGGTTGCCAAAAATCCGATCTCGTCGTTTTGCTTGCCCATCAGCCAAATGCAGCCCGATATGTATTGTCAGACCCGGCGACAAATGGAAATGTTGACGTCGTGCTATCTGGTGAGCTGTTTCTCTCTCTCTCGCTCTCTCTCTCTTTTTTTGTCTCTCAATTCCGTTCTCTGATCCTTGACACGCTTACTGTTCTGTCCATTTTTGTGGTGAAATCGGTGGGGCACAAACCATAAACCGATGAGTAATTCGGGGTAGGGATTCGATGGAAATTCTGGGGTTTGTCACCCCCGGAAAGTGATGGATGCAAAATAGGAAAAATGTTTTTAGGCATAAAAAGGGCAGAAAAAATCAGAAAATTTTCGAAAAAATTTTTCTTTCTATGGCCTTTCTCTCTTTCTCCCTCTCTCTCACTCACTCTCTCTCTCTCTCTCTCTCTCTCTATTATTCGCTCCCTCTCAGATCCTGTCTTTTCAGGTCACACCCACAACGGCCAGTTCATCTTCTTCGTCCCGTTCGTCCACCTTGCCAACGCGTGGACGCACGGGCTGTACTGGAATGTGCCCACTAACACCCATATCCTCGTCTCGGCCGGTGTCGACTTCTTCGGGCCTCCAGTTCGAACTTCCGGCTACTGCGAGGTGGTCCGGTTGACGATCGCCGGAAAGTCATAGATGGTACTCGGGTTTTGGGCAGGTTGAGGGATGGAATTTGATCTTATGGGCGGATATGGTAGCTCGGGAAAAATGTCCATTTGCGTCTAAAGAATTGGCAGATATTTCTAACAAACCGGAAAAATTTTAGCCACAGTAATTTCAAAAATCGATAATTTTGGTGCTACTGTAATTTATAAAATCATAACTTTACATTGTTATACCGTAATCTTTAAATATATTTCTGAGCTATCCTATCTGCAAAAAAGGCAATTCCGGTCAACCGTATCCCCAAAAATGACAATCATATCCTACCGTCTTCCCAAAAATTACAAAACCCTCGACCTGCCCTCAACTCCTATTCACCCGTATTTTTGCCCTACCTTAATTTGATTGTGATTTTTCGCGCGTGTGTCCCCTCCATCGTACCCTATTTGGCGTTTGGTGTTCGATTCCCTTCTTTTTTTTGTTTTGCTGCCATGCTCTGCTGCACTCGGAATATTTTTTGCTGTCCTTTCCTCTCATTGTGGTCTACTCTGATAAAATTACTGGTCCTTGGATTTGATTTTTTTGTCGTTTCCCATGATTTCCATTTACTACACGACGTCATTTGGTTGTAGCGCGGATATGTTGGGTCTGTTGGTTTCCGTTTGTACTTTGTAATATCCTGATCCTGATCCTAAGCTTAAGCCTAAGCCTAAGCCTAAGCTTAAGCCTAAGCCTAAGCAAAGCCTAAGCCTAAGACTAAGTCTAAGCCTAAATAAACCTAAGTTTTATCCTAAGCCTAAGCTCTTCCGAGTTACTTACCTTTATATTTCGAACTGGGGTTATGTCAAGTTTATCCCGAAAACGTGTAAATTGATGTGAATTGGTGTTTTTCATCTTTTTCAACCTTTGAATTTTGTTATTCATAATTTCTTTATTTAATGCGATTCTTTTATCTAGTCCGTTCTAACTTGAACTTATCCACAACCTCGAAAAATCCCTGAAAAGCCAAAGCCCAAACTCTTTATTTCCCTCTTTTTTTGTGCTCCCAGAATTCTATTACTTTGTCCTTTGGAAGTAATAAATAATGTTCTGATAAAAACTGCACAACACTGGAGTTTTTCTCATCGCAAAAAAACAGAAATATTTTTTAAACAGAGCTGGACCCGAGTCCGTTAGGGAAAATACCCCCCGGAAATTAACCAATCAGGCTGCTCAACTGGGACTGATTTTTGAGGAAGTCGTCATTCCTGCAATTCTTTGTAATCTTTTATCTAAATTTTGACAGAACACCAAGACCGCAGGAAAACAGAATTCAAGGAATCAAATTCAGCGCAGAAATTTCTCAAAACTTTTATCTTTAAAAAGTTTTTTGTTTGTGCTGATCTTCTCTGCGCTTTTTTTATTCCAGATGGTTAGAAGGAAGAGAGAGAGAGAGAGAGAGAGAGAGAGAGAGAGAGAGAGAGAGAGAGGAAGAGAGAGGAAGAGAGAGCGACAAAAAAATATAGTAATTTCCATTATTTTGATCCCTAAAACAAGATACCGCACTTCCGTTTATTACTCCCTGGAGATTCTGCATGGTACAGACGAGGAATAATTCCCTAATTAGTCCCAAATACCGTAACCTTCCACTTAGGCTGTTATCCAGATCTGTCCCGCCAAAACCATTCACTCATGGTATAGCTGGAGGAATAAATACCAGACAACAATACCCCTAGAGATAATTTTTACACTTTTCCACTACAAACCACCGTACAATCCTCATTGTATTAAAAAAATAACTACCAACTACTACGAATTTTACCCGTTTTCGTTTGCGGCAACTTCTGATTCGAAACCCGTGCAGTCGGACAGCTTCCGATAGCATCAATACACATACCCCCAAGCCTAGCCTTTCCGGAAATTCGCAAATTACGCTCGATGTACCGCCCATCGTATCGGATTCTTTGAAAATCGGCGCAGAAAGCGCCGGAACCCCCCCGCCCAAATTTGGTTATTTTTGTTGACGGTACGGTGCTCAATCGTGGGCCGTCAAATTCGATTGTCTGCTGCCGCTATATAAGTAAAAAGCTGACGCTGGGCCGTTCCTTTTCCAAAACACGACGATTTCGGTCCATAGTGGTCCTTTAAAGGCGTTTAGAAGTACCGGAACCCACCCTTATGTGCGTGGGGTGTCGACAGCTACGCGGCACAACAAAGAACGTGCACGTTTAAACATCTAGGTTATAACGCTGAGCTATAATTTGTATCGCGTTAAAGGGCCTGAGAAGACAAGGCTATGGAAATTTTCTTAGTGCGCAGCTCCCAACGTGGCTCCTTAATTAAAACATGTGGTTTTCGAAAAGCAACAGGTTTCCAAACACGACGATTTTGAAGTGCCTTTAAAATTTCAGAATACTGGTTTTTGGTGTCTTTCCTTCCTTGTAGTGTGCTCTTTATTCAGCCACACTTTAATATGAAAAACCTGAAAATTTTTGATCATTTTTGTTCCTAATTAACATATTACTACCACTCGGCGGCCTGTGTTGTCAAGTAACAGATCATACCTTGAAAAGCGGCAAACCCCGTGTACCACATTAATGCGCCGAGGTACAACCCTTCAACCCCTTTCTCCGGAGTGCCCGGACCCGAAATCCGATTCCCACCAATGCAAAGCTCGATGTTTAGCGGCGGGGCTAATTTAAGAATTATTTACGCGCCACTGAAGCTAGCCTTACGTTTCCTGAGAAATTTAGCGAAACAGATGACAACATGCACAAATTTTTGGCATTTCGGTCATTTGCATGTTTTTCGATATTTATAAAAGATATATCTTTTTTTAATTGAACTGGGATTTTGCAGAAAATGACGGTGGAAGCTTTTGTCACCATCACTCCCTCGAATTTTGATGAGCTGGTGGAGACCGAAGAAATTTTGGTGGTGCGAACGGCGCATCTGGTATCGTTGATCTTGGCTATGGTAGGTATCATTTCCAGATCTTTAAAATCTGTAAAAACTGCTTTTAAACAACTTAAGATTGTAAACGAAATAGAGTTTCGCTTGTTATGTGTGTCTCTCTCAGGACTAGTGAGGTCTGTTTCTTAACGTGTAGCGGTATTTGACTGGGTTATTAAAGGCTAGTGAACCTCCTGTATTATATTTGAAATCCTACGACCAGCTACCAACAGAGTTTACCCTGGCCTACCCGAACTTGAGGTCCATGTGAATTTACCAACCTGGATTGCATACTCCGCCCGGGACGATATTTAGTTTAATAGGGCCTTTATTAAGGGGCCATACATTAATCATAAAATAGAATAAGTGGGCGCACTTATGGCAGCCGACATGCTGGGGCGGGGAAAGGAAGGGAGGAGAATGGACCCACACGACCTTAGGGGTCGCGCGTTATATAGAGAGAGAGCCAAACTGGCTCCGCCCATCCTTCCGCGTACCCTTTTGCATATCGGTAGACAAGGCTTTTATTAGGCGGCTTACATCCCCATTCGTCCAAAGAAGTTCGTCCCGAACTTCCAGTTTACGGGGCCGACATCAGTCTTCTTCCGGACTTCTCCATCATCCTTCTCGAGCCATTTCTTAGCTTTATGAGCTAGTTTTTCTTTCTCTTCTTCTGCTTCTTCTTCTTCAAAATCAGATTTCTTATCATCTTCGGGTAGTACTTGTTTTTCTTCGTCACGAGCACATTTTTCATCGGTTCCGCGTTTTTCTTGCTGATATGGTGGTCTCTGAGCTGGTTTTTCTTCTTCGTGATGGAACTTTCCGTCGTTCTGTTGCTTTTCTTTGTAAATTTCAGTTTCCGCTTTCTCTGCTACACCCTGGTCTTCTTCTTCCGCTACATCATCAGCTTTTTCATCTGCTACACCATCTTCTTCTTTTGCTGCTAAATCATCTTCTGCGTCTGCTTCTACACCATCTTCTTCTTCTGCTGCTACACCATCTTCTTCTTTTGCTGCTACAGCATCTTCTTCTTCTGCTGCTACACCATCTTCATCTGCTTCCGCTTCACGACGTTCAGTCTGTTGAACATAATCCTCTCTGTCTTCTTCATCTGATACTTCATCTTCATTCAACGCTTCTTCCATCTCTACGTCCATTTCTTCCATTGGTACGACCGTCGCCGGGTTCAGCTCCTCTCGATCTCGGAGGTCGTTGATTTGCGCATTATCATCGCCTCCTTTCCTATTGATCGGGGTTGCGTCGGGCGTCGGATGGGTAGGTTCGGCTTCTTCGAGCCAGGAATTCCCAATCCAGACAGTTTTCCTCGCGAGGTCGAAACTAATTGGAAGGTTCTGCCTTGTACATCTTGGTAGCACATCTGCTCCCAAGAGTACGGGTGTCAGGTGATCTTCGTTCTTCGCAACTTGCGAAGTGACGTTGGTAGAAGTTTTGCCGGTTGTAGAAATGCAAATAACTTCTCCTTTGCATTCAAGAGCTGTGCCGTTAGCTGATCTTGCTTTTGCTTTCGGACTTGTTTTCAATTTTCCTTGAACTTCCAGCTTTCTGAGCAGTGAGCGATAACATTCGCTGTATATCGCATTCACCTTGTGGCTAATTCCTAGCCATTCAGAATTTAGATCTTGTTCATTTGTTCTGTGTCTTCTGGGATGTAAAACGCGACTTGATTTCTTTGGTGCGTTATGTCTTGTAAATAGCTTCAGATACGGCCGACACATCCAGATTATGAGCAAGACCAGTAGTCCGCTCTTCTCGTTTCCGGATTTCTTTTGGCTACGTTCCAGCTTTTCAATAACTTCTGCCAGTGATTCGATTCTGGCGAATTTCTCGTTAGATGTGATTTTTGTCGGGTAGATTTTTGGCTGTTTCCATTCTACCGGTTTTTCGGTCTTCCATATGCCGTTTCTTGTCCTCTCGAGCCTTTTTCCTTGCTCGGCGGTAATTTTGCATCTACCGGGTTTCATCTCTCCGGGTGCATTCATCTCGGCTTTGGAGCTTCCCACCAGTTCAAAATAGTTTTTCGGGCCAATTTCATTCCTTTCTCCGACAATATTCCCTGCATTCCCGTCTTGGATTTGTTC